TAAATATTTATAGTTCTTATCCTTGCGAGTAGTATAAAATAAAAAAAAAATCGTTTACCTTTATTATCTCCGGAGATATTATACAGTATAGGTATATTATCTTCGTGGTGCACCCTGTATGTGAGCGTGAGCGCGCAACGTTCCGCGGCATCAACGCGAATAAAACTACCTAATATAATATTATACTCGTATAGGTTATATTTAGTTAATCTTAATATTTTTAATTCGATTATACAATAAAACAATTATTATGCGTTAACACTTACGGACAAATCTGCTGATATATCCTATATGTGTATAGGTACGTGTTTTTTTTTTTTTTTTCTAAACGATTCGCAGCTGATGTTACGCCGCCGCCGCCGCAATCAGGAAAAAAAACCCGATAAAAATTATGCTGCGTGTACATAATATTGTGCGTATGTATTGATGTATACCTAGGTAGTTTTATTTTTCAAATGACGTTTTGATTTTCGCAAAGACGATGCGGTTGTTTGCGTATAAATAATCGTACGCGTAATATCTAGGTGTATATAGGCACGAGTCCGCGGACCGAAAATATAGAGGTTTACGGACGGGATGTAATAACAACCCTCCTCCGAAAAAAATTTTCGGAAATTCAGACTGCGGCCGAGTCGAGCGGTCGTTCGACGATAATTTAACATATAATTTTTCAAGACGACGACAAAACTGTATGCCGCTGAATAATTTCTTAATTCGTTTCGCTAAATTATTGTTACGCGATTGCCGAAAAATTGATTGATATTGTCATTGTTATCGTTGATACTCGTATATTATATTATGACGTTATACATGACGGGACGACCGCAGCGCTTCGAGCGGCGGTCATTCGACGTCCGATCGACCGACACGACGTTATTTCGCCGTATATAAAATCGCGGCGATACCGTCGAAAAGCCAAATATCACGCAAACGTTGGCGCACATGGCGGAGGACGGGTAAGGGTTTCCTTCGCTGCATTTTTTTTCAAATCGTGTGTTACATTCAACAACCTTGTTCAGCCGTTCAACAATCTTCTGCCGCGGAATGAAACAAAATTTAATTTCATCGAAAATCATTTATACGGTAATAATAGCGGCGTAAGTACCGTACCGATGGTATGCGCTATCCCCTCTCTAGGACGTTACCACAAACAAAACTCCTCCGGAAAAAAAAAATCCTCCGCGCGCTACTGCGTTCAATTAATATTCGACGGAGTCGGCGAATTTTCAATCGCGTAACTATCCGGAGGTTTATTCTTTTTTCTCTCTATTTCGTCGGCGCCGAGTCGTTGGCGTTTCGCGCCGCGGCCGCATGTTCGATAAAGTCCTCCAAAATTCGACCTTTTAAAATCGTCGTTATTACTGTTGAAACGCTACACGCGGGCGCCGACTGTACGGACACTGCAGAAATTAAACGCGTTCCGAGGACACCGCGAATTCGATTTATCATTGTTATTGTTATTGTTACATTATAGACGCGCGTTACGCGAAACGTTATTAACGCAAACGCAATTCCGCAGCGATCGATACGTACACCCAAATATTGTTATTATTATTTTTATTATTATTATTTCGTAAACGACAATCGTTTACGAACGAAATTCGCACACAATACGCGAGCGGTTATGCGCGAGCGATTATCGCAGGTATATACGTATACAGGTACGCGTTTTAAAAACTTCCAATCAATCTTTACGATATTTTATATACGTATACAGTGCACGTACAATCGTAATACGCGTACACCTGTACAGTGTTATATTACCATTTTTTTTTTTTATCGAACCGGTTGTCCTCGAAATAATATACCTACAACACCGATATTATATACATATAAAATTAAATACATTATCATTATTTCAATGATAAACATTTAGATTTTATATTATCTGCGCGCGGCGTTTATGATATTATTTTGTCCGCGGTATGCCGTTATTGTGCTATAGCGGCGGCGGCGGCGGCGGCGGCGCGTATTTGTACGCGTCATTTGAAAAGCCGATCGTTACGATACGACAATACGGTACCGTCTAAACGGTTTTAAATTAAAATTAATTGAGCCATAAATATCAGGGGAAAAAAAATTGTATAAAAAACGTGTATATTTTCAAAAATAAGAATCCGCTGTATACATATATGTATATAATATTATAAATAAGTACCTACTCAAACGGTGTTTTTTTTTTTTTTTTTTATTATACACGTGTTATTATAAGTCGGTTATTGGGTACGGAGTTGAGAATAATATAAGATGGGGCGGAGAGCTAAAACAAATTCACTTTTCATATTATACGCGTATACTTATATACGTTATTGTCTCATAATAAGGCGTAATTTTATGTAATCCCGCTTCGAAATCATTTCTAACCTGTAAGTTCGTAAATGTCGAACAAAACTTACCGTATTTATATTCACTGCAGATTTTCTATACATATAGACGACAGTGGCATGATCAGACGATAACGCTCACAACGCGCACGTCATATTAACCGGACGTGAAGGAGGAGGTAAGATGGGGGATGCAAACGTCGCCAATCGGGTACGCCAACAATCGACGAAGACGATCGAATTTCGTTAAAAAAAAGTCTACCAAAGCCGTACACCGGCTAAAGGTCTAAGCGATTGATAACATAATAATTGTATAGACGGATATACTGCAGACGGAACCGTATCAGCTATGTACACACGCGGTCAAAACCGCCGGAAATTGAAATGGCGATAAATATACGTCGAGGTGGTAACGGTATCTGAAAACATGGTTAAATGACACATATAGACGCTCATAACGCGCGAACAACAAAACAGGTACGATTGTATAGTAATAATATAATAGGTATTCACACTTTCTGCCGATAACCACGGTCCGCCAGTGGCGGATTGTCGAAAAACGACCTGTCATTTTTTTTTTTCTCTTCGTTGTACCTCATACTAGAGCAGGTAATTTTTTTCATGTTTTTCCGTGTCCAAATGGAAACGCTGTTGCAATAAATTCCGTACATTCGTGTACATATATTAGACTCGCATTGGACAACGATTTCGCGAGTATATATACTAGCATATAAAAAAAACTGTAGAAATTATCGGGCTTTTTTTCGGGAGAAATGGACTACAGTGGATACTTACTGAAATTATTGTACTGTGGCCACAGTACAATAAAATTAAAAACATAAAGAGATACGCGCCCTCTTGATTCTTGTTCGTACTAAGCGTTTTCAGCGGCGCAACTAGTGGTTGGGGGAGATAAATTTCACCCGCCCCCCCCCCCCCCCATCCCAATAGTTTTGTTATATACAGACGCCTATGCAGTTGACCGTTCGTCAAACATCTACGGGTTGAATGCTGCGGCGTTGAATGCTGCAGCAGTCTACAAGTGCCGACTAATGATGGGAAAAATCCAAATTTTTAGAATACGAAATCCGGTATTTATTTTAAATCCGCATTCCGGGTTTCGGGTTATCTTACCGAACGATGTCAATTATTACAAAAACATAAAGTTGCCCGTATAACGGCAAAGTGCAATTTTATAATACCGATAAAAATAATAATAATTTTTCATAACGTTCTTGACATTCGGACCGAGTATATTGGTAAACTTATAAACTATAATATTATGTAATATCTGTGATTTCCATACCCGTACATCATTTGCGACGGTGTCTGCAGTGGCGAATCCAAAATTTAATTTTTAGGAGCCTCCTAAAAAAAAAAATTACTACTAGGCAAAAAAAAAAAGAAAAGAAACGCTACTGGGGACGGATGCAGTAACCGTTGTAAGTGGGAAGTTGAGCAGGCGGGACACGTGAGGTTATTATTAATAAAGTACCGACAAACGATGTATTGCCAACTTTCAATCCGGATTATAAAGTGTTTTAAAAACAATTATTATTTTATTTATAATTGTTTTTCTTGTCCATTACCCGATACAGAGTCGCGACTCTGAAAAAATGATATGCGATTATCGTCGCGACCACGGTGCATCCGGATCGACCGATCGGATCCGACGGATTGAATCCGGATCGTGGAACGTGAATCCGGATCCCGGGACATCGGCCGGCGCATCGCTCTCGGCGGCGCGCACGATTTTATACCGGGAGGGTGGGGGGAGGGGGTGGCTGAGGAGGCCCCCCTCCCCTCCCATTCGTCGCGCGCGGTCGCGGAAACGCCTCGCAAGTGGGTCACCGTGTACTACGTCAGGTGTCGCGACAATAACGCGCAAGAGGCGTTCGCTGGGCGTGTGCGCCGCGGCGGCGGTTCGGCGCATCGGGAGCGCCAAAGCGTATTGGCGATATCGGGAAAAAAAAAAAAAAAGAGTAAAAAAGTAAAAACCGATCGACGCGCGCGCCGCCGCCGTCGCCGTCTAAATATATAATACATCGGGCGCGCCGCCGCCGTGCGACGCGTCTGCAAAGCCGGCCGTTCGCGCCGATTGGTTATGGCGCGTACAGTGTATCGGGCGGCCGGGTGATTGATAGCGCGTGTATCGTGCGTGCAGTACGGCAGCACGGCGTGTATCGCGTTGTATATTTTATTATATTGCGGGCGGGACACGGGTGGCGGCGGCGGCGGCGGCGGTGGCCGTGTGGAACGGAGAGAGAGAGAGAGAGAGAAAAATAAATAAAGGACGAAGGGATAGGTGAAAAAAAAAAAAAGAAAAAAAGAGTGAAAAGAGTCCGGCGAATATGGCCGCGGCGGCGGCGGAGGCGGCGGGAAAAAAGGCGAACGGACGTGGAAAAAAAACGGCAGAAAACGGACGAGAACGGGAAAAAAAAAAAAAAAAAAAAAAATAGGAAAAAAGAAAACAAACAGAAGAAGAAACGGGCGGCGCGGGCGGTAAAGGATTGTGCGCGGTGCGACGAGACGGTCCGCGGCCGCCGCCGGCAGATGGCAGGAGTGCACGGGGACCGCGGCTGAGATATCGTCGCCGCCGCCGCCGCCGCGCGTCGTTTCGTCGTCGTCGGGCCCGCCGGTATCCGCGCCGCGCCGCCGTGTTCGCTCGCCAGTCGTCACTGATTGTACGCGCGGTGTCGACACGCGTGTGCTGTTCGTCGTCTGCGTCTCGTCGTCGTCGTCGTCGTCTGCGTCGCGGTCGTCGTGTGGTGCGTGTTTGTGTTTATTTTTTTTTCTTGTGTCGTCGCCCCGTCTGTCCGATCACATTGTCCGCCGACGCCGTCGCGCAAAACACAAATTTTATTATTAATCATTTTTATTAATCGCCACCCCGATAATAAATACGATCATTTTTTTTTATACTTGTACGCTCGATTGACAAACGTATCGATAATATAATTATTGTTAATTGTATTTTTTTTTTTTCTTAGTAGAAAAATATAAGTAAAAAAAAAAAAAATTCGCCGCGATATCCCGAGTGTCCGCGCGGAAACACAGATATTATTACCGGTGCGGAAAAATCAATCGGGTTTTTTCCAGTTATTTTTTTTTTTTAAACGACACTTGATTTTTTTTTTCTACTTGAGACATTCCGATTGTGAATTTTTTTTTTTCCCCGTCGCCCTTTGGCCGGCGAACCGGACAGGCGATAATTATAATATTAATATATTTATAATCATTCGAATCTGCTCGTCGCCGTCCCGCCGCGCCGAGATACCAGTCACCAATAAGCAAAAGTAAGTTTTTTTACACAATCATCATTCATCACCGACTTAATAAAAATTATTGACGTAGGCGTTTTGTATTAGGAAAATATTAAGTTTATGTATAAAAAAAAATAAAACGTACGGAAAGTTTTTTTTCCTTTATTCCCTCCCGTTAAATTTGAATACAAACGTATTCTCTAACGTAATACGCGTTACGATTAGGGACCGGATTCGTACGCACTTGTACATTCACAAAAAAGGCGCTTTAAAACGCCAAAAAAATCACTTAAAAAATATTCTAAAAAGCAACGATGGCAGATGGGTTTAAAAGTCCCTCCCTCGACACTAACGGTTTTGACTTGTTGAAAATAATTTTTAACACCACAAAAATGCGCCTATCTCAAAGTATCCAATTTTTTGCGTGTTGTGAAAAAATAAAACTTAATCATTTTTCGACGTTAGGAAATTTTTATTCAATAGAGTTTGAACAATTTCGGACGGAGTAAGGTCTATAAAACACGTTAACCGCTTTTGCTTTTTTAAACGTTTTTAAGTGATTTTTTTTCCCCCCTTATGGACGGTTTAAACGCTTTTTCGAGGATTTCGAGTGCATAATAATATTACGTGATCCGTTCCCTAGATAATAATAATATTATCGGGATAAAATACAGAAACAAAATAACAAACTGTTTTATCGCGTAATCGTTTGAAAAAAAAAAAAAATTATTTATTATTAGGTATTTCCAAAAGGGATCGCCGATAACGACGGGGAAAATAAAAATAATTTACGGAGTAAACGAAAATACCGAAAAAAAAAAAATAATAAAAATTAATCAAACCATAACCGCGCCGATAATAGCACCGCGACGGTTTTTACTATAAAAACGAAATTTCTCGAACACAACAATATATTATTTATACCTACTAACGATATTTATACGATTATTTTACATAAGATAACGATTGTTGCAGCGTCTGTAGCGGTAAATTAAACAAAAAAAAAAAAAAAAAATAATAAAAAACAATAATAATAATAAATATATATATATATATGATAAAACGATTACAAACTCAATAATAATATTACAATATCGTTGACCGCGGTTCGAAAACCGCAACAACATAATTATCGTGTACTTTCGGACTTTGACGAGGGTTTTGGAAACACGACGGTGTTATCGGTGTTTTTCCCGCCCCCACCCCTAATTTTTAACGCCCAATAACCGTAATCGTATATTATAACATCGAACGTTTATCGTCGCGTGCAAAACGAAACGCACGTCGAATCGTTTTTGGTAGTTTTTTTTGTTTGTTTTATTACATCAATCGTGTGTACTATGTGTAACGAGTATAGTGTGGCCGCGTTACAAGACCGGGGAATATTTCCGATGAAAAATTGAAAAAAAAAAAAATAATAATAATAATAACAAAACGAATCGCGTAAAAAAAAAAAAAAGTTGAATTTTATTCGGTTTCCCCCCCCCCCCCCC